TCACCCGGGCTCCCTCCGCAGGCTACTGCACGGGCTGGGGGGACCCGCACTACACCACCTTCGACGGGCTCTACTACAGCTACCAGGGCAACTGCACGTACGTGCTGGTGGAGGAGGTCAACCCCACCGTGGACAACTTCGGGGTCTACATTGACAACTATCACTGCGATGTCACCGACCGAGTGTCCTGCCCCCGCACACTCATCGTGCGCCACGAGAGCCAGGAGGTGCAGCTCAGGACGGTGCAGATGCTGCCCCTGAAGGTGCAGGTATGCTGGCAGGACCCATGGCCACGGGGGGGCATCCATACGGCTCCCTCCCTTGGCGGGGGCTGAGCTGCAACCCCAGAGCTGGGCTGGGAGGGGAGCAGTGTTCATGGGACACATGCGGCCCTTCTCACAGGGCCACCAGGGGCGTCAGGGACCCCTCAACCTCCCCTCTCCTGATCCCACCGCCCGCCCTGAGCACAGGTGTCTGAGGCAGAAGCCCCTTCCCCAAGCACAGGTGCACACACCGCATGGAGTGGTTGGCTCCCATGGCCAGGGGAGCCCCACCCTCTGCACGGGGCCCAGAGTCTTGGGGTCCTCACCCCTCGGACAAGTCTGCTTAGTGCACTTAAAAAGAATTGAGAAAGGGTGGGACCCCCACCACACGGTGTGATGAGGAGGGTGCTGTGGCCTCAGGCACTCTCTGAAGGTGCTGCCTACCCGCCCCCTCTCTCACGTACTCAAGGCTCCTTTGTCCAGGCTGCCAGGGAAGGGCCGGCCTCCCGCTGAGTGGGTAGCTTCTGCCAGGCTGGCCCTCTGACCTCAGGTGTGTCGGCCACAGGTGCAGGTCAACGAGCAGTCCGTGGCGCTGCCCTACAAGAAGTTCGGGCTGCAGGTGTATGAGTCCGGCTTCAAGTACGTGGTGGACATCCCCGAGCTGGGCGCCCTCATCTCCTATGACGGCCTCTCCTTCTCCATCAGGCTGCCCTACCGCCTGTTTGGCAACAACACCAAGGGCCAGTGTGGTGAGTTCCTGCCCCCTGCGGCTCCTGCGCCCTGCCCCGGGAGGCCGGCGGGGAGTGGGCACCTGCCAGCCTGGATGAGGTCCTCCTCCTCTGCTTGGAGCCCCCATGGCCGTCATCCCAGTTTTGGCCCCTGTGGGACACCAAGAGGAGTCTAGTCTAGTCTGTGCCCTCGGCGCTGGCCAGCTGGTCCCCAGAGGACCTGGGCAGGAGGAGGGGAGGGGTCCCAGGCGCTCACCGGGTCTGCTGGAAAACGTGGCCCTTCTCGCCAACCCAGGCACGTGCACCAACACCACCTCGGATGACTGCGTGCTGCCCAGTGGGGAGGTCATCTCCAACTGCGAGGTCGCAGCTGACCAGTGGGTGGTGGACGACCCCTCCAAGCCGCACTGTCCCCACTCCAGCTTCACCAGCCCGCGTCCGGCCACCATGACGCCAGTGGGCAGCAGCACCCCCACACCCGAGGACTGTGATTCTTCCCTCTGCGAGCTCATCAAGGACAGGTGACCCTGCTCCAGGCCCATCTGTGGCCTCGTCATTAGAGAGCTGCAGGGACTCAGGGAGCAGCCTCGCCTCTCTCTGCACCCCCCACCCCTGGGCCCTATCTGCACAGAGGAGATGAGGCTGGGGTCCTGGTGTGGGGGTGGGAAGGCAAAGGCCTTAGGGCTTTGGCTCCTGATTCCTATGGGGCCGAGTTGCCTCATCAGACACCCCCCTGCCTCTTTTGATTCCTGAATCTCTCCTGCCACCTGGGAGGTGCAGGATAGGCTGAGCTTGAAGCCTAGGGTAGACCAGTCGACCCAGGACTCAGCTAGCATTCAGGGCTGAACCAGGGAGGCAGATTGGGGTGTAGACAGAGAGAGGGTGGCTTCAAAGCTGGTATTCATGGGAGTGAGCGCCTCATCCCCAGAGGTATGAAAGTGAAGGCTGTGCTGCCTTCTGCCAGGGTTGCTAGAGGTAGGATCCTGGGACCTGTTGGCTATTTAGATGTGAAGCCTCCATCTCTGAGAGGCTGGCCCCATGACCTCATCCTTGGGCCACTGTGCCAGCCCCCTTGGTGGGATGCAGGCAGAGCTCTAGGAGGGCAGCCCAGGCAGAGGGACTGTGTGGCGGGGAATGAGAGGGCCTGGTGGCACCGGCTGAAGCGTGACCTACACCCCTCCCCAACAGTTTGTTCACCGAGTGCCACGCCCTGGTGCCCCCCCAGCAGTACTATGACGCCTGCGTGTTCGACAGCTGTGTGGTACCCAACTCGGGCATGGAGTGTGCCAGCCTGCAGACCTATGCCGCCCTCTGTGCTCACGAGGGCGTCTGCATCGACTGGCGGAACCACACCCAGGGGGCCTGCCGTAAGTGCCCACCTGCCCCAGCTGCTGTGTGTGGGTCCTGCAGAGCTGCTGGGGTGTCCAGGCTCTGCAGGGTACTGTGACAGCCTGAAGCCAGACTGGGGTGGGGCGGCCAGGCCTCCATGGAGTCAGGCTGGGCCTTGAGAAGAAGGGCAGGCTGGAGGGGCTGGAGGTGCTGGACGGACTGTCAGCCTTGCTAAGCACCACTGGGCACCGGTCTCCTGGCTGGGGACAGCATCGAGGACCAAGGCGGGCAGCAGTGGGCAGCTGGCCACCCTTGGCCGGTGTGGGAGGGTGGGTCCTTTGTGGGAGGGGCTGGGCAGGACTGTCACTGGTCGGGGGGCAGGGGGATATGCACAGGCTCCTCCGACATTTCCGGCCTCTCTGACTGCTGCCTCCCTCCCACAGCGGTGACTTGCCCGTCTCACAGGGAGTACCGGGCCTGCGGTCCTGCCGAGGAGCCCACCTGCGGGTCCAGGTCAGCTGCTGGGAAATGTGTGGGCTTGGCCCCTGGGTGGTACTGTCTGGGCATGGTGCTCCAGCATGCCTGCTCCCCAGCCCGTCCACACCCCCATCTCACGAAGCCCCCCACCCCTCCAGCTCCTCGCTGCAAAATGACACAGGCCTGGTGGAAGGCTGCTTCTGCCCCGAGGGCACCATCAGCTACGCCCCCGGCTTTGATGTCTGCGTGGAGTTCTGCGGTACGTTGCCTGCTCTCGGTGCCTCCCTCCTGCCTCTGCGAGGCTGAGCCTGGCTCCTGCGGCACCGGGACTCTGCTGACAGGATTCCTTTCCTCTCTCCTCCTAGGCTGTGTGGGACCTGATGACGTGCCCAGAAAGGTCGGCCCTCCTCCTTGGTGCTGAGGCGGGATTCTCCCACAAACCCTAAATTTTGTGGGGTGGGTGGGGTGGACACGAGAACCTGGGAGCCTCAAAGACTGAGTAATGAGGCATTTAAGTCCTGGAAGGCTCAGCTAGCACGATATGCACCCACCCATCCGTCTGTTCCCCTGTTGCTACCTCCACCCATCCCTCCATCTTCTGCCCCTCTATCCGTTCTTCCATCCCCCCGTCCCTCTGTGTGTCCATCCCTCCATCCGTCTGTCCCTCCCTCCTTCCATCCATCCACCCTTCCATCCATCCCTCCATCAACATATCCTCCACCCATCCACAACACCCACCCATTGCTCATGTGAAGTTGTCTGGAACCGAGATGATATCCTAGCCACTGCACTGTCATGTCTACACCCATGGTTGATTCCTTAGTTCCATGCCTCACCAACCCTCTGGACACCTGTGGTGTGTCTGCCCCGAGCCAGGTCCACATGGTATAGGCAAATACTGGTGAGCAGGTCACGGTCAAGATGTTAGTGGCCTGGCCCTGAATGAGGGCTTCTGTCCTGGGCCAGAACCTGCCCCGTGTGCTCAGAGGTGGGAGGGCACAGGTTTTCCCGCAGCCCCGGCCCATGGTGAGGCCGCCCGCTCTTCTCCCTGCTCACCCCCTTCCTCCTGCAGTTTGGGGAGCGCTTTGAGTTCGACTGTAAGGACTGCGTCTGCCTGGAGGGTGGAAGAGGCATCGTCTGCCAGCCCAGGAAGTGCAGCCAGAAGCCCCTGCCTGAGTGCAAGGAGGACGGCACCTACCTGGTCACGGAGGTCAACCCCGACGACACCTGCTGCACCATCACCTCCTGCAGTAAGGCCACGCCCGGGGGAGGGGAGCCGAGCCTGGGCCCCAGGGCACCTGTCCCCTCCTAGGGCCCCCGGATTCACCGTGTAAATTCTCCGTGGTGATTTCACCTCCCTGGGGAGCTGGGGAGCAGCGGCCGCAGGGTGTATCCTGCTGAGAGTAGGTGTTGTAGGAGGAGGCTGTGCTTGGGCCTGGGGGCCGTGCTCGTACCCACAGACACCCCAGGCCCCACCCTGTGCTGCGGGCAGTGGCGGGGCACAGCTTTCAAGGAGCCGTGCTCATTACCACGTTTCCTCCCCTCCTCAGAGTGCAATGCCGGCCTCTGCAGAGAGAAGCCCCCTGTGTGCTCGCTGGGATTCGAGCTGAAGAGCGAGATGGTCCCCGGAAGGTGCTGCCCCCTCTACTCGTGTGGTGAGTGGGGCCCTGGAGCCAGGGCGGGAGGCGGCTGTGGGGCTGGGGCTGACTGTGGCTTGAGTGGGGCAGTGTGGTGAAGTGGCTCCCATCTGGGGCCCTGACTCTGCATGGCCGATGCACCCCTCCCCGCCCCCGGCCCTGAGCTCCCACTCGGTACACCGGCTGTGCGCGTCTTGTGCCTGGCAGGGCAGTCTGACTGCTGTCCCTGTTCTTTCTCCCCAGTGCCCAAGAACGTGTGTGTTGTTGGGAATGCTGAGTACCAGGTGAGCCCTGGGCTGGGCCAATGGAAGGTGGAGGTGGGGGAGGAGGGGTGGGGTCCTGGGCAGGCTCTCTGGCTGGATATGGTGCCGGTTAGGGCCTGCTCTGGGGGCTCTGCTGTGCGAGCCAGGCCCGGGGCACCCAGCTCCTTTCTCCTACTGT